TTTTACCTCCGGTTTTTTTTTTGGCGGTAACCATAATGGTGGCCGAGTAGATCATGTTGTGTGGGGTCGAAAACCCTCACTCCGCGCAGGGGGGATGATCGCACCACGTTGTGATGAAAAGGTCAAGCACCCTCGAGGCAGTTACACAGTGCTTACAACTGTCTCAGGAAGTGAAAGCACCAGAAAATAAATTAAGTCATACGCAGCTGTCATCCGTACGCAAGGAAGTAAGCACAAGATGCCGAAAACCCTTAGCAGGATGCAGCGCACCCTTCATGCGACTCGCCGAATATCTCACGGCGCTTCGCGCTTGGTGATGTGAGAGCCTGGTCCGGTGAGAACCCGGCGTGCTCCGTCCCGGCTTTGTAGGGATGCGAGGTCAATGGTCTAACGACTACGGTATGCACGACTATGAGTACACCCCCCCACTCCCGCGTGCCCCACCGATACACGAAGCTCGGGGTTATCGTAACATCCTTCCCGTCGTTTCAAGGCACTAGTCCACGCCGGTCCACGCAGGTTTTCTCAGTACATAAAAAAAAACATTCTGGATAAAGTATAGAACCGTCTAAGTTGGGGTTAGGGTCTGGTTAGGGTCTGCGTGCCCCCTGTCTGGTCGTTTTTCGCAATAGCCTTATTTTTTTTGCGCAGGCAGTACCTTCTAGGAAAGCAGGCACCCACTTCTTCAGATTATCAGACCGTTCCGGTCTCCGCATAAGACCTTCCATCACCCACAGAAGACACACCCCCTCACGCGCCAAGATGCACAACGACCACGTCGTGGTGAGGGCACAACCCGTCGCTCAAGCTCGCCTGGATCACGAGGCCCTGGCGCTTCAAGAACTGTCCGAAGAACAGCACGCGAGAGCACACGACCGGGGCGCTGAGGGCGAACAACGCGCGACCCTGGTGCACGTCGCTGTTGCCGAGTCGGATGGTCAGCCCTCCCGCCAGCAGGAGCAGGGACAGGCTCTCTAGCCAGTTCCACTTGTCCCGCCAGAACTCCACGAAGCCCGCCCGCATTTGGAGGAAGTTGCTCACGATCTCGGCCTGCGTGTTTGTGGAATGAAACCAACCATTCCCGTGGGGTTGGGTCCACCGTGGGGACAGGGTTGGTGTTCTGACTTTGCTCAGTGGTTGTTAGCATCCGCACTGGTTGAACTGACATGGACGTCTTCCGTGGCTACAGGCTTCGAACAACCATGCACCGAAAAGAGATACCACACGCCTCGAACAACCAAAGAGGAGGCAACAAGGACACATAAATTCACTAAAACCACGGCATAATACAACACGAATAGACAGAGGAACTTGATCCGCCATGCATCGCCTGACGAACCGGTGAAAGCATTCACGTTCTATTCTTCAGCATTCGGATCGAGTTCTTTTCCTCCCGTGTCTCTTGTTCTTTGGGCATGTGATTATAGCCTCCCTTCTGTCTCTCCATTAGCCAATCTGGGATAGCAGGGGGCACGCGGAAGGTCCTGTCCTCTTCCCGCCGCCCCCACACGCACACACTCTCCTGTCCTCTTGAATCTATCGTGTTGGGGCAAAGCTATGTGTGCACTCAATTCGAGAGGTCGCATGTTTTCGAACCGTCTTGTCGTTACGGCGGTATGTAGTTCGACGGCCTGGGGCGGGATGCTTCTCGCTTGAGTGACGCGTGGCAAAACAAGACGGCGACGACGACACCAACAGCCAGCAAGAACAACAACAACAACAACAACAACAGCAACAACAGCAACAACAGCAACAACAACAATAGGTGCTTGCTCACCATGACATGGAACGTCAGGGCAATCTCGGTGTTGCTGAGCTCGGCGTCGTCGCTCTCCAACGCCACCGCCGTGTAGAGCGCGAGCGTGATGAGGTGCACGTAGAAACCGAGCAGCATCCGCATCACCGGCACCTGACACCACACACACACACACGTCCAACCCCAAACCCACACATCGGTGGTACCGGGGGCGTGATTAGGCCAAAAGGCTAGCTGCATGGTCCAAACACTTCCGAGAAACCCTAGAGAGCAGGAGCAGGGGTGTGTGTGTGTGTGTGTACTCATAGTCGTGCATACCGTAGTCGTTAGACCATTGACCTCGCATCCCTACAAAGCCGGGACGGAGCACGTCGGATTCACACCGGACCAGGCTCTCACATCACCAAGCGCGAAGCGCCGTGAGATATTCGGCGAGTCGCATGAAGGGTGCGCTGCATCCTGCTAAGGGTGTTCGGCATCTTGTCCTTGCTTCCTTGCGTACGGATGACAGCTGCGTATGACTTAATTCATTTTCTGGTGCTTTCACTTCCTGAGACAGTTGTAAGCACTGTGTAACTGCCTCGAGGGTGCTTGACCTTTTTAACACGACGTGGTGCGATCATCCCCCCTGCGCGGAGTGAGGGTTCTGGACCCCGCACAACATGATCTACTCGACCACCACTATGGTTACCGCCAAAAAAAACAGAGGAAAAAAAAAAAAACGGAAACCCGGTTGCCGTGTTCACGAAGTGAATTGGCTTGTTTTACAACGTCGTTGCCAAGCGACGAAAACCCAACCCCT